TTTTGGGGGGTACCTTGCATGGTGGTGACTGAAAGACATTTAGGGTCTGTACTTCGTTGGCTGCTATGAAGTCCGCAGGGCCGTTGTTCTGAGGTCAGAACCTCAGTGTAAAGAGGCTCAGGCCCATCCAGGAGGCGGGGTCTGAGACAGCCCTCCACCTCCACCTGCCCCTCCATTCAAGAATGAAAGCCAAGCAATTAGTGAGACACTCATGTTAGCAGGATGCCGGTGGCTCACGCCTGTAATCCTAGCTACTCTACAGGCTGAGATCTGAGAATCATGGTTCAAAGCCAGCCCCGGCACAAAAGTCTGTGAGACTTGGTTCTCCAATAACACTACCAGAAAACCAGAAGTGGCACTGTGGCTCAAGTGGTAGAGAGATAGCCTTGTGCTGAAGAGCTGAGGGACAGCGCGCAGGCCCAGAGTTCAGGCCCCACGACTGACCTTCCCCCCCCCCCCAAAAAAAAAAGAATCTCACTTTAGCCATTTCCTAGCTGGATGACTTTAGCCAATCTCATTTATCTTCCCTATTCCTTCCTTATCTGTAAAATAGCAACATTACCCACTTGAGTGAAGTGTGGCAAAATTTAAAACAAAGTATACCAAGCAAGCAAGTCCGCAGGCCAATTGGTTCTTTCTCAAGGCCATCCCATTCTTCTCTGGGTCATTCAGAGGAAGCCTGGAGCTAACCCACCAAACCCACTGAGAGAAGAAATGTATCTTTCTAGCAAACCAGTTCACTTGGGTTGTGTCTATTTCATTATTTCTGATCTCTGAGCAGTGAAGATAGAATTTTTTAGTAGGTTTAAAAACCTGCTGCTAAGCCAGGCTCCAGTGGCTCAGACTTGTCATTCAAGCTACTCAGGAGGCTGATATCTGAGGATTGCAGTTTGAAGCCAACCATGGGCAGGAAACTGTGAGACTCTTATCTCCAATAAACTACCCAGAAACAGCCAGAAGTAGTGTTGTGGCTCAAATGGTAGGCTCAGGGACAGTGACTAAGCCCTGAGTTCAAGCCCCAAGTCTGGGCAAGATAAAAAATAAATAACATTTAAAAAGACTACTACTTCCTGCCATGAAATGCCATCCATGGTTCACTCTTAGGCCCCCTCCCAGCTTAAATTGGGAAAATAGAGGTTAGAACAGCATGAACATTAGTTTACCTGGATTTATTTTCTCAAAGTGTTACCTTTTGTATACCAATAACTGGTAACTTTTTGTATGTATATGCTCATCCTGGGGCTTTAACCCAGGGCCTAGGCGCTGGCCCTGAGCATTTGTGCTCAAGGCTGGTGCTCTACCACTTGAACAACAGTGCCACTTCTAGTTTTCTGGTGGTTCATTAGAGACTTTCTTGCTTGGGCTGACTTTGAACTACAATCCTCAGACCTTAAGATTACAGGCATGACCCACCAGGGCCTGGCTGTTTTTTGTTTGTTAAACAAATAAAAAAAAAAAAAAAACCTGTCCTGTCATCCACTTCCTGTACTGGGGCTTTGAACTCAAGGGCTTCTGGAAAGACAGAGCTATTCCATCCAGCCCAGATTTTTGCTGTCCCCCCTGCCCCCCCCCCCCCATGTCCAGGGGCTTGAATTCAGGGCCTGGGCACTTTCCCAAGCCTTTTTGTGCTCAAGGCTAGCGCTCCACCACTTGGGCTAGCACCACGTCCAGGTTTTGAGTGGTTAATTGGAAAAAAGAATCTCACAGGGGCTTTTCTCCCTGGGGCTGGTTTCAAACCATGATCCTCAGATCTCAGTCTTCTGAGGAGCTAGGATTATAGGTGTGAGCCAACAGTGTTTGGCTGCTGGTTATTTTTAAGAGAATGGGGGTGGGGGGTGGGGGGGATTCGCAGAAACTTTTCTATCCAGAATAGCTTCAAATTGAGATCCTCCAGATCTAGCCTGCAGAGTAGTTAGGATGACCATCGTGAGCCACCACATGTAGTCAATTACACTTCGTGTCCATCTACAAGTCTTGCTGTGATAATAACTATGGGGCAGAAACTCCCCTAAAAGAGAATATGGTGCGACCTTCCTCCACGGATGACCATGGTCTGTGCTTGTGAGCAAGGCCCAACAAATTGAAGACCTAAGTTTATTCTTTTTCTCCTAAAATACCCACTCCATCTGTCCACAGGGAGCAACAGGGAGGCGTAAAGGCTTATGGATTGGTTTTAGGGATTACAGGGGAGCCCTGACCTGCTTTTCCCTCAAACTGGAGATCAAATGAAAGAGAACTGGAGGAATGTAGGGAAGCAGCACCAACTCAGAAACTAGCTGGGCACTGGTACTCTGCGATCTGAGGATTGCAGCTCAAACCAGTCCAGACTGCAAAGTCTATGAGACTAAATCTCCAATTAACCACCAAAAAACTCTGGAAGTAAAACTGGGTGCTGGTGGCTCACGTCTATAATCCTAGCTACTGAGGAGACTGAGACTTGAAGATTGTGGTTCGAAGCCAGGCTGAGCATGAAAGTCAGTAAGACTCTTATCTCCAATGAATTACCAGAAAACTGGAAGGGGCTCTGTAGCTCAAAGGGGTAAGGCATTACCCTTGAACAAAAGGGCTCAGGGATAGCACCCAGGCCCTGAGTTCAAGTCCCACAATCAACAACAACAAAAAAAAGGTGGGGGGGAGGTGGAGGAGAGAGAGAATTTCTCTTATGTTTAAAGAATTACCAACCCCAACCATGTAGGATAAGGCAAACAACCAGGAGCAGAGCTCTGCTTTTAGGCTAGGCTTGCTTCTCTCCCCTGAAACACCTCTTCCTTTGTTCAGCAAGGACAAGGGAAGGCCCTCCAGTGTGAGAACCTTCACTTGCTGGACAGATTCTAGTTCCTTTGCTTTCTCTTCACCTCTAATACATCCTAGCACAGGTAGACTCATACTGGCAGAAGCACACATATCTGGGCATGGTAGCATACACCTATACTCTCAACTACTTGGCAAGCTAACACAGCAGAAACCTAGGAGTTTAAGGCTAGGATTGACCACATAGGTACATTCTGTGTAAAAGTAGTAACTAAGGGCTGGGAAGGTGGCTCAGTGGTAGAGCGCTTGCCTTGCATGCATGAGGCCCTGGGTTTGATTCCTCAGCACCACATAAGCAAAAAGAAAAAAGCCGGAAGTGATGCTGTGGCTCAAGTGGTAGAGCACTAGCCTTGAGCTGAAGAGCTGAGGGACAGCGCCCAGGCCCAGAGTTCAAGCCCCACGACCGGAACCAAAAAAAAAAAACCAAAAAAAATAATAACTAAAAGTGCACCACAATTAACAGTGACAGGAAGAGATGGATACTGGTAGCTCACACTAATCTCCTAGCTACATCTAGTTGAGATCTGAGGACTAAAGTTCAAAGTCAGCCCAAGCAGAAAAAAGTCCTGAGACTTATTTTATTTTTTATCGGTCATGGGTCTTGAACTCTGCCTGGGCACTGTCCCTCAGCTCTTCAGCTCAAGGCTAGCTCCACCATTTGAGCCACAGCACCACTTCCGGCTTTTTTTTCTGCTTATGTGGTGCTGAGGAATCAAACCCAGGGCCTCATGCATGCAAGGCAAGCGCTCTACCACTGAGCCACCTTCCCAGCCCACCCTGAGATTTTTATCTCCAAGTAACTACCCAAAAAAGCCTGAAGTGGGTGGAGGTGTGGCACACATGGTAGGGCACTGGTCATGAACAGAAAAGCCAAGAGAGACTACAAGTGTGAGTTCAAGCCCCAGTCCACACACACGCACGCACGCACGCGCACACACACACACACACACACACAGAGTAAGAAAGCTATTGAACCCTGAAGATTTGAGAAATATGCAATGGATAACTATGGAGAGTGGAGACTGGAACTCATTAGCTATTCTTAAACCTTGACTACCCTGTCACTCCTCTCCCGGGCTGGGTACAGAAATTTCCAATAAGGAACTTGCTGTGCCAAACTTTCAATTTGCAGGCAGGTAAGTTATAGCCTCTCCCCTTCCCCACCCCAGTCTTGAGGCTTGAACTCAGGGCCTGGGCACTATCTCTTAGCTTTAGCTCAACCTCTTGGTTTATAGCAGTTACCAGGAGATAAAGAGTCTCATGGACTTTCCTGTATGAGCTTCAAATCTCAGATCTCACCCTCTTGAGTAGCTAGGATTACAGGCATGAGCCACCAATTCCTGGCTATCCTGGCTATTCTTACTATTACAAAATACCATGGTATTTTGTAGACCCAGAGAGCCAGTCACCAATCCTGCCATCTTTCTAGCACAAGATCATCATGCCTAGATTCAGAAAGGTACTGTGAAAGAAGAGCTAGGAAACGCAAAACAGAAATACAACTTGTCTCTGATGGATGATAAAGCACTCTAGCATGTGTGATGCAGCAAAGGCTTTGGAGCAGACCAATCTGAGCCCAGGTGTGACAGCCAATCACTGGATCCCTCTGGATGCCACCTTCCTCAGCGACATGGGAAGGGGAGAAGGGGGAGAAGCACAAGGGGCGAAGGTAGCGTCTAAGTGGAATACCATAAGGTTTCAATGAGATAACGGGCAGCAGAGCACCTCTCTGGGCTTGGCAGGAACCTGGTGGTGGTCCTACAGACAAGGCGGCATAGCTCCTGGAAATAAAGAGTCTCAGCCAGATGCCAGTGTCTCACGTCTGTCATCCCCGCTACTCAGGAGGCTGAGATTTAAGAATCAAGGTCAGGAAAGTCTGTGAAACTTTCATCTCTGATCAACCTCCAGAACACCAGAAGTGGTGCTGTGGCTCAAAGCATAAGCCCTATGACTGACAAAACATAAAAAAAGTCTCACACACTGAATCCTAAGGGCTGGGGACTCATATGGTAGAGTGCTTGCCTAGCATAATAAACACAAGTCCCTAGGTTCAAAACCCAGTACTGCCAGAAATAATAAAAGAGAGATTGAAGGTTTGGGTTCCTCCCTACCGCCCCACATACCCACCCCAGCTTCTGAACCCCCTCCTCACCTTCCCAACCCGACTGCTACATAGATGAAGCTAAAAGGGTTTGATCATGTTGGTATATTTATAGGTAAATACAAAACCATAATCACTGTAAGAGCCTGAATAGGAACATTACAATTATTTTCGGCATCTGACTCAGTCCATTGGTGTTAAATACAAAAATGAAATGATTGTAAAAAATAAAAAATATACAGAAAGATCTTATTACAGTATAAAAATTATGGAGGTCTGATCAGGTGCCAACCTCATCTTCCGTAATGGGGGGAGAGAATGTTTTGGAGGTTGTGGGAACTTGGGGTGGGGAATGTAGAGTGTTGGGGAATTGTTGGTTCTGGGTCTGGCTCATCAGGGTGGGTGGGTGGGCTGGGCAAAGGCAGGGGCAGGATGGGCAGGTAGAAAATGAAAGGTGATTGAAAGGTACCATCCCTCTCAACAAGGGGCTATGCGTTCCACTCACTAAGAACCCACCCAGTCTGAGGTCTTGGGTAAGGCAGGAAGAAGAGGGCATCTCAGTAGGCCATTTGCCTAAGGAACCTTCCAGGGGCCCAGGGGGAAGGGGGGGGGGGGGTGCTTGCGGGGGAGAATTCTCTCCTTGTCACATCTCCTCTCATACACCTTGTACCGTACTGATGGCTTTTGGCTCTGGCTGCTCAGTGAGTTCATCTCCCTCCCTGCCCCACCCCGGGGACATCAAAAGGAAGCTGGAGTCTGCAATCACAGTGGAGGTCCATTCCCAAAAATCAGCAAAAGGAAACAAAGAAAATCTGTTAAGATAGAGGGCAATCTGTGCTGAATGAAACCAGTGTTACCGCAAATGACAATTTTTGACTCCCACCGGAGTACAGGAGGTCACTGCTTAAGGAGGAGAACTGGATGTGTCCCTCTTCCTTCATGTCCCCCCTCATCGGACAACAGGAGCCCCGACCAAAAACCCTGGCTAGTGCAGGGCCATGAGGAGGGGGCGCTGAAGGGCAACGCGGAGCCCCAGGAATGTCTACAAAGAGTATCTGTGTGTATATGTATTTATAGAATACGACCATATTATCACATACAATATATATTATATACACACGCACATATAGATCCATACACGGAAGAGTGCATACGCGCGCACACACACACACAGGAGGACAGGAGAGATGGGCACACACGCCCTCTGGAAAAACGTGCTTGGCATGTGGGCCAGGTGCCAGCGTACGTCACATGGTCAAGCTCTCTGGGTAGGAAGGTGAGCGCTCGCCAAGCCTCCTGGTGAAATCCTAGCAAAGGAAAGGAGTGGGAGAGAGGAAACCTCCAGAAGAATGGCACTGGGGAGGGGGAGGGAGGTTCCTGCCCCACTTACCTCGGCCCCCTGGCAAAAAATCAATAGCCACAATTTGGTTTTAATAAGGCACAGTTCAATAGCAGGTGCTAGGAGTGAAGAACACATCGCCGCTGGCCCTTTTCTAGTGACAATTTCACCACACTTCGCTAGCCAAAGGGCAAGGCTGCCCGGCGTGCCCGAGTGCACCAGGAGACGCCAGATGGCTCTGTCCATGGCTTCGGTGGGACTGATGGCACCTCTAGGCTCAGCGGAGTCCAGGGTGGTTTAAGGAAGGCTGGCCAGCAGGTAGGAAAGGTGCGGGACAGTTACTGACCCTCCATGGTCAGCAGATTCTGGCCCGAGGGAACCATGCCCTCTTTCTCTGCGAACTCCAGAATGGCCTTGTAGCAGAAGTAATACTGCTCGGGGGTCTGGATGCTGAAGGCCCTCTGGGTGCGCATGCGCGACACTGTCTGGAACACATTAAGGGTGCCAAGCTCTTCCAGCTGGGCCAGGCAGATGTCCAGGGAGCAGAAGGTACCTGCAGGAAGAAGGACACTATCACAAGGCCGGTCCAGCCCTCTTGCTCAGCTTCCTCCCAAGCAACTCAGACAGGATGATGAGCGCACTAAAGGCCACAGGCGCCGGGTGCTGGTGGCTCACGCCTGTCATCCTAGCTACTCTGGAGGCTGAGATCTGAGACTCACAGTTCAAAGCCAGCCTGGGCAGGAAAGTCCATGAGACTCTTATCTCTAATAAAGCACTAGAAAACTGGAAGTGGCACTGTGGCTCAAGGGGTAGAGCGCTCACCTTGAGCTGAAGAGCACAAGGACAGCGCCCAGGCCCAGAGTTCAAGCCCCACGACCGACCAAAAAAAAAAAAAAAAAAAAGGCCACAGGCCTTCTGCAGAAAGGAGGCCAGAGGGCCTTGGGCCTGGAGGAGGAAGGCCAGGAGGAGGTCACGGGGAGAGCCTGAGGCGAGGGAATGAGAACACCTTCCATCTCTCCATCATATATGGGATGATAAGAAGAAGTGGGCAGGTAACAGAGGACTTCCTGCTTCAATCCCAGACAGACACCACCCCCCACTCCTCTGATTCCCAGAGATATATCTTCTGCAGTGGCCTAAGACAAATGGATCCTGGTTCTAGAATGAAGAACAGAGTGCTGGGCTGGGGTGGAGTAGGGTGTATGAGCAGAGAGCCCCAGAAGGGAGGGGAGGAAGGGGAGGGAATGAGACAGAAGCCATGCACAAGGTTCCCAGTGACGCGATGACAAAGTGACAGGGGAGGAAAATCCCAGTGGGGGACAAACAAAGAAACGACACACGGAGGGGCTAAGTCTGCCAGGTGTATATTCTTTTTTTTTTGGTCAGTCATGGAGCTTAAACTCTGGGGGGCCTAGGTGCTGTCCCTGAGCAATTTTGAGCCAAGGCACTACTTCTGATTTCTGAGTGGTTCACTGGAGGTAAGAGTCTCATGGCCAGGCTCCAGTGGCTCACGCCTGTAATCCTAGCTACTCAGAGGAGGCTGAGATCTGAGGGTCGAGGTTCAAAGCCAGCCTGGGAAGGAAAGTCTGTGCAACCCTTATCTCCAATAAATGCCCAGAAAAAAAAAAACAGAAGTGGTGCTGTAGCTCAAGTGGTAGAGCACTAGCCTTGAGCTGAAGAGCTGAGGGACAGCGTTCAGGCCCAGAGTTCAAGCCCTCATGACTGACAAAAAAAAAGGAGAGTCTCATGGACTTTCCTGCCGGGGCTGTGGCTTTGAACCTCGATCCTCAGATCTCAGTGTCCTGAGTGCCTGGCAAAGATGGATTTTTGTAGTTAATTTACCACCTATGGATGAAAGGAGTACTCCTCCACCCCCCCCCCCCCCCCCATAGACTCCCTGTAAGAGCTTGGCGCTCCTCCCTGCCCCTAGACTCTCTGGATGCACCAAAAGTGCCAGGGGACTGCTTACCTGTCCTGCCGATGCCCGCGCTGCAGTGGACCACGATGGGTGGCTCGGGTCCCTGCCCCTTGGCGCGTGCGCCCGTGCTGCTCACGGCCAGGCTCTGCTGGCTCCGGACCACTCGGAGGAAGTCGATGAGTGAGGCCGCGGAGGACGGCACACCGTAGTCCGGCCAGCTGAGAAACTGGAAGTGGGTCACCTGGCGTTTCTGCCGCTCCTTGGCGGAAGGAAGGAAGAAACAGAGGTGAGGGAGGTCAGTGCTGGACACTCAAGACCCCGGCATTCCCATCGACAGCACTTCCCTCTCCCAGCTTTCCCCACAAACGCTTCTCCATCAGTCAATGAACAACGCACAATTCCTGTATTATAGGATCCAAATTAGGATCTCACTGTTTCATGTTGCCTCAAACGTCATCTTTCTACCTCCGCCTCCCAAGGGCTGACATCAGAGATGCGTGACACTGTCCAGTTTAGGACACAAGGCCCTAATGCTAAGCTCGGAGTGTGGCCCATGAGCAGAATTCTTAGTGACAATGCCTGAGGCCCTGGGCTTAGTCTCCAGCACTGAAAGCAGAGTGGACACAGATTCCTGATGCTGAAAGTTTTACTCCTGTTATGGCATAGGTGCTAATATGATTTATACTGACTCTACACTGAATATCCTTATCTTGTTCCTAAAAAACCAGAAGTAGCTCACACACTACGTAAGGTCCTGCCTATCCTCTCTCTAGAGATTATTTCTCCTCCTCCTCCTCCTCCCCCTCCTCCTTCCCTTCCCTCTCCCCCTCCCCCTCCTTCTTCGGTCAGTTCTGGGGACTTGAACTCAGAGCCTGGGCGCTGCTGTCCCTGAGCTCTTCAGGTCAGGGCGAGCTGGTTTTCTGGTGGTTAATTGGAGATAAGAGTCTTAGGAACCTTCCAGACTGGCTTTGAACTGTGATCCTCAGATCTCAGCCTCCTGGCTTTAGAGATTTCTTTTGAAGCTCTTTCCCAGCTTCAAAAAGAAGAGTCAGGTACTGGTGGTTCACGCTTGTAATCCTAGCTACTTGGGCAGATAAGCTTGAGAAGAACGAGATTCAAGGCCAGCTAGAGGCAACAAGTTCACGAGACTGGGTTGGTGGAGTGGTTTACTTGATAGAATGCCTGCTTAGCAAGCATGGGTCATGGAATTAAAACTCCAGGATCTTAAAAATTAAAAAAAAAAAAGTATGTGCAACCCCATCTCAACAGAAGACACTGGGCATGGTGGCACGCACTTGTCTTCCCAGCTATGTTAGGAAGCAAAAACGGGGTGCGTGTGTGTCATGGCCCAGTCGCACACTTGGGCACCAAGTGAAACCTTATCTCAGCAGTAACCACTGCAAAAAAAAAAGGGCTGGATGGCTTAGAGGTACAACACTGTCTCTAGCAAGCATGAGACCCTACGTTCAAACCCTAGCACCACCTCCCTTACCCACTCTACCCTGCACCCCAAAAGGCGAATAGAAACCTATAGTTACCTCCGTGTTGTGAATTTCTAGCGTTGTTTTCTTATAATGGTTCATGTTCTCCACGCCTAAATTAGTCACGGTGAGGAAGCCAAAGCGGATCCGAGAGTCCTTTTCTAAAGGCCAGTACTGGCCACACTTCCTCCGGCCACCTTCCTCAAAGCTGAACACAAACAGAGCGAGTTCAGCCCCCGTCGGTCCTCAACCCACAGTGGGCTCACTTCCCCACATGGCCCCCACGATCGGCTCTGCCCTTGGGGGGCAGTGCCATCTGCATTCTAACTTGCACCCCCGACTCCTGGCAGAAGAGGAAAGGAAGCCATTCATTGTGAACATGCCTCAGGCGGGCCTTGAGCAGGACATTCACAGGGCTCTTACTCTGTCCTCACTCTGCATGGTAGTCCTCACATATTAGGGGGAAACAATGATGAACAAAGAAAGAAAATACTGTGGGCTGGAGAGCACTGGGCCTCCCCCGGCGGAGCATCACCTCTCCCATAAGGCGCTGGGATCCTGGAGCTGGTCAGGGGTGTGGAAGGGCCCAAGTCCTTCTCTGCACCCCTCAGTGTGCCTGTACCCCAAGATCCAAGATCCCAACCACAAGTGGCTACAACTGTTCCCCGAAAGAGGGAATGGAGCCGACAGGCTTCCTGTCTTATCCGTCTAAAATAGGTTATTATACTGGTAAAACAGGGAAATCCTTCAATTTGGTAGATTTGAAGGCCAAGATTTCAAAAACATTCCTCCCTTTATTCAATCAGGTTTCCTGCCTGACTCATTTTATATCATATCTTTTTCTTTTTTTTTTCTTCTGTCCTCCTGCAGGTGGAAATATGAGTGAACAGAAAACAGCCAAAGTAGCTAGAAATGGCGCATAAAGGGGAGCTGGCTGTGGCCTTACCAGGCACAGACGCTGGATTTGTGTTTCCCAACACACCATGGGACAAGGATCGGAGCTCCAAATAGGCTATAAACTGGCACAGGGGCACCAGACACATGGGCCACAACTTTGACGAGTTAACCTGGCTACACTATACCCTCATGTGCTAAGAAAACACTGGGATATGTTTGCCCTGGCTGTTGTAATCGTCACTGTGTCTAAGCAACTCCTTCTGGAGTCACACACGCTTGGAACTGGGGTAGGGATGAGGGTCAGTGGGCCAAAGGGAATGAACTCAGGCTCAGCACCAAGTACTCGCCTAACACGCACCAGGCGCCAGCTTCAAGCGGCACACTGCAAAAAGAAAAAGCAACGGCTGCATCCACTCACCGCGTGGTCATGACAATCACCAAGACTTTCTGTTCCCACACCATGAGCCAGAAATCCCGGTAAGTATTCTCCAAGGGCCCTGGAATATAGAAGAGCGAGCAATGACCCCAGGGCATGCCTTCCTTCCTTCCCTAGCCTCTACTATTGTCCACTCAACACTAGCTCTAAATCGTAGTGTGTGTGTGTGTGTGTGTGTGTGTGTGTGTGTGTGTGTGTGTGTGTGTGTGTGTGTGTGTGTGTGTGTGTGTGTGTGTGTGTGTGTGTGTGTGTGTGTGTGTGTGTGTGTGTGTGTGTGTGTACACACCCAAATGTGCTCATCAGGACTGAAGCTTGAATTCAGGGCTTTACTTGGTAACTTGACTTTTTTGCTCAAGGCTTAAAATTCTACTACTCAAGCTGCATCTCCATTTCCAGCTTTTTCTAGTTAACTGGAGATAAAAGTCTCATGGATTTGTCTGCTTACTCATGCTTTGAACCTCAATCCTTAGAGCTCAGCCTCCTGAGTAGCTAGGATTACAAGTGTAAGTCACTAGCACCCAGCATCAGCTAGTTTTTTTGTTTTTGTTTTTTTAATCGATTGTGGGGCTTGAACACTGGGCCTGGGCGCTGTCCCTCAGCTCTTCAGCTCAAGGCAAGCGCGCTACCAATTGAGCCACAGTACCACTTCTGGCTTTCTGGTGGTTAATTGGAGATTAAGAATTTCATGGCTTTTCCTGCCAAAGCTAGCTTTTTTTTGGTATCAGTTCTGGGGGGCTTGAACTCAGGGCCTGGGTCCTGTTCCTGAGCATTTTGGTGGTTAACTAGGGATAAAAGTCTTATGGAAGTTGGGTCCCAGTGGCTCATGCCTGTCATCATAGATACTCAGGAGGCTGAGATCTGAGGATTGCAGTTTGAAGCCAGCCCAGGCAGAAAAGTCCCTGAAACTCTTATCTCCAATAAACTACTCATAAAAAGCTGGAAGTGGCTCAAGCGGTAGAGCGTTAGCCAAAGAAGCTCAGGGACAGTACCCAGGCCCAGAGTTTAAGCCCCAGCCCAGTAAAAAAAAAGGGGGGGGGGAGGGAGGGAGAGGCAGGGCGCCAGTGGCTCACACCTGTAAACCTCGCTACTCAGGAGGCTGAGATCTAAGGATCATGGTTCAGAGCCAGCTCAGGCAGAAAAGTCCATGAGACTCTTATCTCCAATAAACTATCAGCAAACCGGAAATGGCGCTGTGGCTCAATTGGTAGAACACTTGTCTTGAGCTGAGGAGCTCAGGGATAGTGTCCAGGCCCAGAGTTCAAGCCCCATGACTGACAAAAAAAAAAGTCTCATGGACTTTCCTGCCACTGGCTTCAAACCATAATCCTCAGATCTCAAGTCTCCTGAAGAGTTATGATTATGGGCCTGAGCCCCTGGGGATCAGTTCAGCTAGCTTCCTGATCTTAACACAAGTTGCTACTACTCGGGGATTCCTTAAACACCCTAACAACCCTGTGCAGGAGAATGTCAGAAATGCAGAAGGTGTGTGTCAGGTAAGCCACAGATTCTTGCAGAAAGCACACCTAGACTGTTATGTGCCCTGAGCCGCAGACTTCAGCTTCGATCCAGGATGATACAGCCAACTGCACACCCCTCCAGCTGGCTCTATCTCGCCTATAAGAAGACACTTCTGGCTCAAGCCTAAAATTCTAGCTACTTAGCAGGCTGAGATCTGAGAAGTGTAACTTGAAGTCAGCTCAAACAGAAAGGTGCATGAGACTTTTATCTCCAATCAACCAGCAAAATGTCATACTGGAGGCATGACTTAAATGGTAGAGCACCAGCTACAAGGCAAAAAGGCTAATAACCAAGAGGCCCTAATTCAAGGCCTAGTATGCATGCACACATGGACAAACATACACACATGCACAGAACGCCATGAGCACGCACAAGGCCAGGAACTGTTATAGATACCCTGGAGGTAATGATCAGGAGGCTCTCAACTCAAGACTATCAACCTCACTATACAGGAGGCATTAATAGAAATCTGAGGTCCAGACAGCCTTGAGTCCATAATGGGGAAACAACTAGAAGCAAGAAGAGCTAGGACACAACTTGAGTGGTAAAGCACAGGCCTAGTGAGCAACAGGCCCTGGCTTCAAATGCCAATACTGCCAAGAGGGAAGAAAAAATTACTAAGGGTAGATAGCAAATGGCTTGTTCACACTATAAAGTTTTAACTGGGCACTGATGGCTCATGCCTCTAATCCCAGCTACTCAGGAGGCTGAGATCTGAGGATCATGGCTCAAAGTGAGCCTTGGTAGGAATGTTCATGAGACTCTTTATCTCTAATGAACCACCAGAAAGCCAGAAGTGGTGCTGTGGCTCAAGTGGTAAGAGCACTTGCCTTGAGCTGAAGAGCTCAGGGACAGCGCCTAGGCCCAGAGTTCAAGCCCCATGACCGACAACATAAAAAAACAAAAAGTTTTAAAGGTTGTAGACACTGTAACATTTACTCCTTGACATTTGAGAATCCAGGCACTGTTCAGACAGAACAACACTCTAACAGTACTGACCCAATGGATGCTGCCCAGAATTAGTGATAGACCTCCCATCGACCCACTCAGTCTCAGTACTGTTTCTCCATTGGGGAGCCAATCACAAACCACACATTGCCTTGTGTTAACTTTGTAAGTATCTTTATAAAAATTAATTTTTTGTTATATTTTTGTATCTAGAACAGTTCTATGCTCTTATTTTTGTGTTCTCTTTCAGGAGTCTAATCAGATTTCCTTTATTTTTATTTATTTTTGGCCTGGTCCTAGGGCCTTGAACTCTGGACCTGGGTACTATCCCTAAGCTTCTTTTGCTCAAGGCTAGCACTCTACTACTTGAGCCACAGCTCCACTTCTGGCTTTTCTGAGTAGTTTATTGGAGATAAAGAGTCTCACAGAGTTTCCTGCTTTGAACTGCAATCCTCAGATCTCAACCTCTTAAACAGCTAGGATGACTGGTGTGAGCCACCAGTGCCCAGCTTTTTTTTCCTTTTTGGTGCCTTTCTTGAGGATTGGACTCAGGGCCTGGATGCTGTCCCTGAGTTTTATTTTTTGCTGAAAGCTAGTGCTCTACTACTTGAGCCCAAAGATTTTTTAGGGAGATGAGTCTCATTAACTTTCTTGGCTAGGCTGGCTTTAAACCTTAATCCTCAGATCTCAGTCTCCTAAGTAGCTAGGATTATAGGTACTGGTGCCTGGCTTTTTTTAAAATTTGTTTTTTTAAACCATATTTTTTAATGTTCAGAGAAGTTATACCTTTGTGTTCCTCCCCTAGAGGAATCCTCCTTTAGTCTGTCTGTGGGTGAATGCCTATAGTTTTAAACATGTACTTGACTCTTTTCTTTTGCTTTGTGAGATTGATTCTTGCTTTGAAGCCTAGGCTAGCCTTAAATTTGTACGCGGCCCAGGATGGGCTCAAAGTCACGACCCTCAAGTGCTGGCATTACAAGCAGAGCTGCCATTCCCAGTATGAGCCAGAATTCTATCATATGCACCATAACTGGGACTGTTTGGGTTTGTTTCTCATGATTAGATTCAGCCTTTTTCTTTCCTTTTCCTCCTCCTCTCCCGTTTTCTCCTTCTTTTTTTTTTAGGTCCCAGCCCACTCAGACACTTACATGGGCTAGGCAAATGCTCCGTCACTGGGTTACATCTTCCATCCCAGGTGTGGATTGTTAAGTTCCCAGAACCAAGAACAGCATGGCTGACATGCATGTCTCTATTTCAGGGGAGGCTTATAATCTCAGCAGAGCTGGGCAGAGTTGAGGGGTAGTAGCCTGCTGGCCTAACAACGTGCAAGGCCCTGGGTTCCTTCCTCACCACAAAAAACAATCAGGGGCTGGGAAGGTGGCTCAGTGGTAGAGTGCTTGCCTTGCACGCATGAGGCCCTGGGCTCGATTCCTCAGCACCACATAAGCAGAAAAAGCCAGAAGTGGTGCTGTGGCTCAAGTGGTAGAGTGCTAGCCTTGAGCTAAGAGCTGAGGGACAGTGCCCAGGCCCAGAGTTCAGGCCCCACGACTGGCCAAAACAAACAAACAAACAAAAAATCCACTCATAAACAAACAACCAACCCTTTGTGAGAATTACCTTCATCAGCACCACTAGGAAGTATAAGGCTTTATCTTGCTGGTCTTGCTCTGCCATGGGCAAAGAAGTTTTGGCAGTTTGCTGCAATGTGATTTTGTCTACTTTGGACTTTTTCCATCTTCTTGTGTATTCTTTTGGAGTTGGGGTGGAATACTGTCTTATTCATCTTCTCTATCCCTCAGCTTCCAAACTTACATGAAGATGCCATGTTCTTCTCAAGACAGATAGGAGGAGGCCAGGTCAGGAGGAGACCTGGCCCCACAGGAGTGCATACAGAATTCCTCCTGAATCCTCCTCCCTCCTTGCCCCTCATGATTCATGGTCCAGCTTGGGACTGTACTCTGCGATGGTTAAAGGACAGGCAGGAATGCTTGTGACAGTAACATATTTATTTGTGTGTATCGGTCCTGGGGCTTGAACCCAGGGGCTGGGCACTGTCCCTGAGCTTCCTTTGCTCAAGGTTAGTATTCTAGCACATGAGCCACAGTGCCACTTCTAGCTTTTTCTGTGTATGTAGTACTGAAGAATTGAACCCAGGGCTTCATGCATGTAAGGCAAGCACTCTACCACTAAGCCACATTCCCAGCCCCTGTTCTCATCCTGTGACCTGACCATACTACTATATAATCTAGGAGGTGGATTTAAATTTCCAGTTTATGCCTTTGCAGTGAGTTTCCAGACACACATTGTGCCAAAACTCTACTTATCACCTGTCTGCCTCAAGCATTACCAATCATTAAGAAAGGCCAGCATCTGGGCTGGGAAGGTGGCTCAGTGGTAGAGCGCTTGCCTTGCATGCCTGAGGCCCTGGGTTCAATTCCTCAGCACCACATAAGCAAAAAGAAAAAAGCCAGAAGTGGCACTGTGGCTCAAGTGGTAGAGCGCTAGCCTTGAGCTGAAGAGCTAAGGGACAGCACCCAGGCCCAGAGTTCAGGCCCCACAACTGGACCAAAAAAAAAAAAAAAGAAAGGCCAGCATCTGGGGATCACAACACCAACTCAAGTTATACTTCCTTTCAAACCCATGCCAGCATAGTTTTTTGTTGTTGTTGGTGGTGGCAGTGGTGGTGGTGTTTGCTTTTGCTTTGTTGTTTTTCCTGTCTTTTGCGGGGTGAGGGCAAAAGAAGGAAACAGGAACAGAAGGAGGAAGGACAAATACATGCACTCATGGCACTCAGTGTACACTATGTGGAAAATGTAACTTGTGGGCAGGGACGGGAGCGGGAAATGGGGGAAAGCAAAGGAAGGGGTGACAAAAGCAAGAAAGCAAGAAAGAAAGACAGAGAAAGAAGGAAGGAAGGAAGGAAGGAAGGAAGGAAGGAAGGAAGGAAGGAAGGAAGGAAGGAAGGAAGGAGAAAGAAAAAAGGAAGGAAAGAAGGAAGGAAGGAAAAGGAGGGAGGGAGGGAGGGAGGGAAGGAAGGAGGAAAGGAGGGAAGGAGGGAAAGGAAGGAAAGCAAAGGAAAGGAAAGGAAAGGAAGGAAGGAAGGAAGGAAGGAAGGAAGGAAGGAAGGAAGGAAGGAAGGAAGGAAGGAAGGAAGGAGAAAGAAAAAAGGAAGGAAGGAAGGAAGGAAAGGAAGGAAGGAAAAGGAGGGAGGGAGGGAAGGAGGGAAAGGAAGGGAAGGAAGGAAGGAAGGAAGGAAGGAAGGAAGGAAGGAGAGAAAGAGAGAGAAGGAGGGAGGGAGGGAAGGAAGGAAGGAAGGAAAATGAGAGAGAGAGGGAGGGAGGGAGGGAGGGAGAGAGGGAGGGAGGGAGGGAGGAATATACTCACAACATAACTGACTTAGGAAATGGTAACCTCCACTGTACCACACCTTAATAATAATAAAATTATATTTATTTATTTTTTTTTTTTGCGGGTCATGGGGCCTGAATTATAGGCCTGGGTGCTGTCCTCAGTTTTTCAGCTTAAGGCAAGCACTCTACCACTGGAGCCACAGCGCCACTTCTGGCTTTTTCTGCTTATGTGGTGTTGAGGAATCGAACCCAGGGCCTCATGCATGCAAGGCAAGCACTCTACCACTGAGCCACCTTCCCAGCCCATAAAATTATATTTAAATTAAAAGAAAAAGTTACACCACTGAGCAGGGAATGAAGCTCAGTAGAGGCAGTAGAATATTTGCCTAGAATGTACAAAACTCTGGATCTAATCATTAGCAATGGGAAAAAATAGCAAAAATAACAACAAAGTATTCCATCATCTCATACAAAGAACCACAGGTAGAGAGCATAAAATCTACATCTAAGAACCAGAACATCTTTTCTTTCCATTTTTTTTTTTAGGTCCAAGACTGGGAACTGAACTTGGTACCTGACGCTTTCACTCTTTGACTAATGCTCTACCAACTGCACCATGCCTCCAATCCCAGAGCATCTTACCTTGTGTACCAATGTAAGCATTCTTCTGCTTATAGCCATCCATGAAACTGGCATTAATGTAATCTGTCTAATGATAAAAAGGATACATCATTATAGGTGCAAGAAGGTGCTTTGGGGACAAAAAATGATGTGATGGGTAGGTAACAACCCAAGGGGGAAATATTGTCTTGAGGCAGAAAATGAGGAGCAAATGTGCCAATTCTTAACATCCTTTCAATAACGGTGGTGGGACAAATGGTTCTTTAGGCATATAAAACTCAATCTGCCCCCTTCTTCATACTATGCATACAATGATCACAAAAGTAATTGGGCATGATGGCACATGTCTGTAATCTCAGCATTATTAAACACAATAATTGGAAAGCCAGCTGAGAAGATTCTGTCTCAAAAAAAAAAGTCGACTCAAAGTGGTTCATGGACCCCATGTAAGTTCTTCAAACTTTAAAACACTGAGAAAAACAGATAATGCCAAATCTGTAAGACTTAGGTTAAGCAAAGAATGTTTAGACATAACACTAAACTTAAAAGGGAACAAAAGAAAAAGTATAATCTAGATTATATAAAAATGTGAGCTGAGGGCTGGGAAGGTGGCTCAGTGGTAGAGCGCTTGCCTTGCATGCATGAGGCCCTGGGTTCGATTCCTCAGCACCACATAAGCAAAAAGAAAAAAGCTGGAAGTGGCGCTGTGGCTCAAGTGGTAGAGTGCTAGCCTTGAGCTGAAGAGCTGAGGGACAGCGCCCAGGCCCAGCGGTCAGGCCCCACAACGGGACTGAAAAAAAAAAAAGAAAAAAGTGAGCCAAGTGCGGTGGCTCACGCCTATAATCCTAGCTTTTCGGGAGGCTGAGATCTGAGGATCACAGTTAATAGCCAGCCAGAACAGGAAAGTCCTTGAGACTCTTATCTCCAATAAACTATCAGAAAACTGGAAGTGGCGCTGTGGCAAGTGAAGAGCGCTAGCCAGCCCCACAACCAACAAAAAAAATAAAATTGAAACTTGTATGCTTCAAAGGACACTATCAAAAAAGTGAAAAATCAATCTTTTTTTTTTTTTTTTGGGGGGGGGGGGGTCCGGTCGTGGGGCCTGAACTCTAGGCCTGGGAGATGTCCCTCAGCTCTTCAGCTCAAGGCTAGCTCTGCTTATGTGGTGCTAAGGAATCAAACCCAGGGCCTCGTTCATGCAAGGCAAGCGCTCTACCACTGAGCCACCTTCCCAGCCCCCCAAAATCAATCTTGTATAAAAAAATCCAAGGGTGGGCCAGGATGGAGAAAAGAGGGAGAGATGATGGAGGGGGTAACACCAATCAAGACGCACTACACTCCTAAGCCGCCTTCTAGAACTGAAACCCCTTTGCACAACTATTTAATTAAAAAAATCAAGTGGCGCTGTGGCTCAAGTGGTAGAGCTCTCGCCTTGAGCTGAAGAGCTGAGGGACAGCGCCCAGGCCCAGAGTTCAAGCCCCACGACCGACAAAAAAAAAAAAAAAAAGTCAATTTTTTCTTTAGAATTTAGTAAAGAATATAATCCAATTTGAAATTGAGCAAAAAATAAAATAAAATGAACTATAGAAGCTTGGCTCTGGGGGCTCATTCCTGTATCGCTAGCTACTCAGGAGGCTTAGCTTTGAGGATTACAGTTCAAGGCCAGCCTGAGCAGAAGTCTGTGGGACTCTTATCTCCAATAAACTACTCAGAAAAAGCCAGTGGTAGTACAGTAGCCCTGTGGCTCAATTGGTAGAGCTATAGCCTTGAGCTGAAGAGCACAGGGACAGTACCCAGGCCCAGAGTTCAAGTCCCACAACCAATACCACCTCCCCACCCCCACAAAAAAAAGAAGCAGCTCAGGGTCAGTGCCCAGACCCTGAGTTCAAACCCCCAGGGCTAGCCAAAAAAAAAAAAGATCAAAGAGAATTCTCTTATAACCCAGCAATTCTACAACTAAGGAAGTCAACAACATATATTCATACAAAACCAAAACCATATTCACAAAACTGGAAGAAAGTGAGGGAAGAGCTGACACTGTACAAAAAGACATTACCTGACATGTAATTGTAACCTGTCTCTTTTATATAATAATATAAAAAAGGAAAGGAAAAAATATACAAAAACAGAGCATTACGCATAAGTCAAAAATGTGCAATTAACTAATAGGCCTTCAAGTAATGAATGAATAAAATGTGGTATGTCTACACAATGGAATACTACTTGGCAAGAACAAGTAATGATATGCTGATGTTACAACATAAAGAAGGCAGGGAGACATTTCTCGTTAAGCGGAAGAAGCCAGATACAAAAGGCCACAAATTGTCTGGTTCCACTTATATGAAATACATAGGACAGGGAGACCCACAAATAGAAAGTTGTGCTTCTGGGGGAAAAGCTCAGTGGTACGGCACTTGCCTAGCGTATGTAAAGCCCTGGGTTCGATTCCCAGCACCTCAGTAAAACAAAACACAAAAAAACCAGATTAGAAGCTGGGTGCTGGTAGCTCAAGTCTATAATCCTAGCTAATCAAAAGGCTAAGATCTGAGGATCCTGATTTGGAGCCAAGCTTGGCAGGAAAGTCTGTAAGACTCTTATCTTTAATTAATCAAAATGCTGGAAGTAGAGAAATGGCTCAAGTGGTAGAGCCCCGGCCTCAAGTAGAAAAGCTCAGCCAACAGTGCCCAGGCCTTGAGTTAAAGACTTAGAACTGGCAAAAAAAAAAGAAAGAAAAAATAGACTGGGGTAGAGTTTCAGGAAGAATTGTTTTCTTCCCAGTCTCTTTATGAAGCAGGATGGAACTCGGTGGTCTCTCTGAGGCTACCAAGTGCAGGTCAGGCTATGAAGAGTAGGAGTTTCACTCTGAAGTTCTGGCTACCTGAGTGAGGCCACTTCTCTTGGTCAGCTTCACCCTGGTCTGGTCCAGACAGGGCACGTCCCCATAACGGTTCTTCTCTAGGTTCACTGGAGACCTAAAGGCAATGAGGGACTGAAGTGAGAATAGAGAGCATGGAAGGACAGAATGTACGGGTAGTACACTAGGAATACAAAACTGGGTGTCCCAACTGCAGGGAGGGGCCTTGGGCATTTTTCAGTCTCTAATCTACACGAATCCACAGCATTTCCCCTTTTCCCCTCTGCTTGTCTGTGGGGATTGAATCCAGGGCCACACAGACTCTAAGCACGTGCCCTCCCACCCAGCTAGTCTCTCAACCCTGTTGAACATTTTTCATCGGTACCTATTACTTATAGAAATGAAGGCTCCAAAAGAATTAAGACAGAAGTAATACCAGTAAGAAGTAAGGGGCTGCCGTAAAAAGTACCTATAAACGCCAGGTGCCAGTGGCTCCTACCTGTAATCCTACCTACTCAGGAGGGTGAGATCTGAGGATCATTGCTTGAAGCCAGCTAGGGGCACACAAATCCTTGAGACTCAAATTTCCAATGAACCAGCAAAAAGCTGGAAATGGAACTATCGCTCAAGTGGTAAAGTGCTAACCTTAAGCCCAAAAGCTCAAGAACAGCGCCCAGGCCCAGAGTTCAAGCCCCTAGTACCAGCACAAAAGTAATACAACAACAACAGCAACAACCCTACAAATGCATGAAGTCCTGGGTTCAATTCCTCAGTACCACACTGAGCTCAAGCCCCAGGACTGGCACGTGTGCACACATGCACGTGTGCATGCACACCCAAAGTCTGACAGGGACTTTTTTGTCCGGGCTGGCTTTTAGCTGCAGTCCTCAGATCTCAGCCTCCTGAGTAGCTAGGATTATTGGCGTGAGCCACCAGCATCTGGCTAGACTCCATTTCTAATAATCAGCAAAAAGTAGAGTTGCAGGTATGACTCAAGTGATAGAGCACCATCCTAGGAAGCATGATGCCATGGATTCAAACATTAATACTGTAGGGAAAAAAATAAAAATAAAAACATTCTTAGACTTCCTTCTTCTCCCTGGAAGGCAAAGTGGGATATAAGGCTTTTAAAAGAATAACTGAAAATCAGATGACGGAGTTAGAACCCCTGCCCGTCCCTGATGTTCTATCCTACACTCACACCCAGGCCTGAATCCCACCAGGCAAGAAATTGGAAAACTGAAGTAGCGCTGTAGCTCAAGTGGTAGAGCGCTCGCCTTGAGTTGAAGAGCTGAGGGACACCGCCCAGGCCCAGAGTTCAAGCCCCACGACCGACAAAAAAAAAAAAAAAAAAAAAATTGGAAAACTGTACCTGGACAAAATGAGAAGCCATTAGTAAAAAGAGTTCTATCATTTGGAATACTCTTTTTTTTTTTTTTTGGGTCCGGTCGTGGGGCTTGAACTCTGGGCCTGGGCGCTGTCCCTCAGCTCTTCAGCTCAAGGCTAGTGCTCTACCACTTGAGCCACAGTGCCACTTCCGGCTTTTTTCTTTTTTCTTATGTGGTGCTGAGGAATCGAACCCAGGGCCTCAGGCATGCAAGGCAAGCACTCTACCACTGAGCCACCTTCCCAGCCCCATTTGGAATATTCTTTTTTTTTTTTTGGGTCCAGTCGTGGGGCCTGAACTCTGGGCCTGGGCACTGTCCCTCAGCTCTTCAGCTCAAGGCTAGCACTCTACCACTTGAGCCACAGAGCCACTTCCGGCTTTTTGCTTATGTGGTGCTGAGGAATCGAACCCAGGGCCTCAGGCATGCAAGGCAAGCGCTCTACCACTGTAGCTACCTTCCCAGCCCCATTTGGAATACTCTTAACCAGACAGCTGTTCGATCATTTTAATTTGAAGCTCATCTGTGCAAACAGGACTTCTAAGCAGTTTTTTTTCCCTTTGTTTTTGTGCCAGTCCTGGGGGCTTGAACTCAGGGTCTGGGCACTGTCCCTGAGCTTATTTTGATCAAGGCTCTATCACTGGAGCCACAACACCACTTCTGGCTTGTTTTTGGAGGGGGGGGGGGGGTTGTGGGCTTGAACTCTGTCCCTGAGCTCTTTAGCTCAAAGCCAGCACATTACCACTGGAGCCACAGCGCCACTTCCGGTTGTAATTGGAGATAAGAGTCTCATGGACTTTCCTGACCAGGCTCGCTCTGAACTATGATCCTCAGATCTTAGCCTCCTGAGTAGCTAGGATTACAAGCATGAGCCACAGGTGCCTGGCCCAAGCAGTTTTTAAAGACCCCATTCCTCAGTGCAAATTAAGAGCCAAGGATCTCCAGATAAGTAAGGAAAGCCCTTAATAAGGGGTACAAATTTAAATACACATACAACAACAAGAAAAAGGAAAGCCAATAAAAAAAAATTATTCGAAAAACAGAACTCAGTATCTTCAAAGGAAATAGATAATACTATTATATGAAAGCAAGAATAAGATGTTTTGAAAGAGAAACAAAGAAGAAAACCTCTTGGAAATTATAAAATATATTCAAGTTTTGGGGTGTACCTTAGTGGTAGTTTACTTACATGCCTAGCATGCTAAGATTGAGGGTTTGAACCCCAGCAGGGGGAGGAGGAGGAACACCCAGAATAGGAATGGCAAGATAAAAGAGAAAATTAAAGCAAACTTCCCAGAATATGAAACAAAATTCAAAGCAATTAAAAGTATGAAAAAAATCATATAAGTAAGAGAATTATTCTAAAGCAGGGTGCCTATGGCTCATGCTTGTCATCCTAGCTACTCCGGAGGCTGAGAGCTGAGGATCACAGTTCGAAGCCAGCCTGGGCAAGAAAATCTGAGGCTCTTATCCCTAAGTAACCACCCAAAACAAGCAGAAGTGGAGCTGTGGATCAAGTAGTAGAATCCAAGCCCTGAGTATAAAAGGTCAGGGACAGCAGCTTAGGTCCTGAGTTCAAGCTCTAGAGGACCTGCACTAGAAAAGAACAGATTAAAGATCTTAACCTAGGACCTAAAATTTACAACTACTACAGCAAAGAATAAAGGAAACACTAAAACAGTGACGTAGACAGAAACTTCCTGAACAGACTCCACCAGCTCAGCAAATTAGAGCAAGGGTTAACAAATGTGATTGCAGGGAACTAAAAATAAAACACTTTCACACAACAAAGGAAATAGTCACTAGACAGAAAAGACAGGCTACAGAATGTGAGAAGATCTGAAACTCTGAAACTACTACAGGAAAGAACAGGAAAAACACCAGAACTTTTTGGCATAGGCAGCAGCTTTCTGACTCGCACTGTAACAGCTCAGCAATAGGAGCAAATGGGATTACATGAAGCTGAGAAATTCCGCACAGCAAAGGAAAATAGCCACTAGGCTGAAAAGATAGCCAAGAGAATGGAAGAAAATCTTTGCCATCTATTAGCTGACAAAGAATAGCCAGACACTACTTGTGGGCAGAGACAGGATGGGGAAAACTGGGGGGAAAGCAAAGAAAGGGATGTCATTGTCCAAAAGAGAAAAGTACTCATTACCTAAATGGTGAAATGGTAACTGTACCATAACGATCAAAATAAAATTATATTTAATAAACAAAACTAAACAAGCCAGGCACCAGTGGCTCATACCTGTAATCCTAGATACTCAGGAGGCTGAGATCTGAGGATCACGGTTCAAAGCCAGCCCAGGCAAAAAAGTCTGTGAGACTCTTATCTCTACTTAATTATACAAAAAGCTGGAAGTAGAGCTGTGGCTTAAGTAGTAGAGCCCTAGCCTTGATCAAAAAGAAAACTAAGGGACAGTGCCCAAGCCTTGAGTTCAAGCCCCAGGACAAGCACAAAAAAAAGAAAAAAGGAACAAAGACGCACCCCAAACAAGAAAACATGACAACAGGCGTGCTGTACCAATGCCTGCCTAAGAAAACACTTGGAAAGAAATAGAGCAACATGGAAAGAGAACTGATAAGCTTATTGCCGACAAATAGTTACCAAGTCGTTATGAGCCAGATATAAACTAGCAGAGCATTTGCAAGTAGGACTTAGAAGGAAAAATCCAAAAAGGTAAGAGACAAACTCATTTACAATCCTGCCCCTGGATGCTTCCCGCCTCTCAAGATATTGCATTTTTACTACATTGTGAGCTTGACCCTTAAAAAAAGAATCTTGTATTGTAAGAAAATATCCGGAGGTATTTCCATTATTACGGAGACCCGCCCGTTAGTACAAGGAACTTCCTGCAATGTCCAGGATAGCACACGCACAGCGGCCGTCCGGGTGGTCAGGCCTGCAACCGGTTAGCACAGAAGAGGCAGTAGGGTCCAGAGCTGCAGCTGGGCCTGCCACGTGTGGTGCCCCCACTTACATGGAGCAGTGGAACGTGCCCACGGGGTGCTCCCGCCGGATATCCTCATACTCCTCGTATATGCCACGCTTCTGCCGCGCGTTGACATAGTGCACCAGCTCGTGGATGGTCATGGCATGGGGGCCGGGCACGTGCACCGAGTCCAGGTCGCAGGCAGGAGGTAGGGAGAACAGGATGATCTCATCCAGGGGGTCGGGGTGGCCATTCACCTGGGGTAGGAACTGGAAATTCCAATTGGCCAGGTCAATTTTGACGTACCCACCCAGGTTTTCTGGAAGGCACTCCCTGGGCAGGTGCTGGGTCACTTCAGATGTCTTTAGTATCTGAATCTGGAAGGCAGAAAGAAGAGAGATATTGGAGGGGGGGGGAAGGGTTAACACGGTGATGACAAACAGCTCACACGCTACCACTCAGCTTAGATTTTTAGATTTGCTGGAAATCCTGGTAGACTTGTGAAACCAGTAGACTGTACTTCATCTACCTAGGAATGAGCTCCGCTACTCAGGAGGCTGAGATATGAGGATCACAGTTCAAAGCCAGTCCAGGCAGAAAAAGTACCTGAGACTCTTTTAAATTTTCTGGTGAGAAAATCAGAAGTGGAGCTGTGATTCAAGTGGTAGACCACTAGCCTTGAGCAAAAGAGCTCAGGGACAGCACCCAGGCCCTAAGTTCAAGCCCCCCCCCCCACACACAAAAAAAAGAAGTTTAAATGCCCAAAATATCTTACAAATTCACTCCTTGGAATTCGGGGGCCTGGAACATACCTTCTGAAAGCAAGGTACAGTGCACAAAGGCTTTGTACTGTGTAAGTACCTCAGTACTATCCCATGTTAGTACTCTTCACTACAAAGAGCACAACAGGTAGTGGTTATTTTGGTCAACCCCACACAAGCCTGTTAGCTTAGCTTGTATTTTGCTCACAGCTTGGTATAGGCATTCCCAAAGGTGAATTCTATGAAAGCAAGATGAAGCCATTTACCTAGAGGCAGGGTAGCACAGGAACAATGTCAGGCAAGTCATCATAATATGTAATTATACTCTTAAGACACAAGCCTCAAGCTAGTCTGGTTGGCTCTTCTTACAATCTGTGTGGACTAGGAACGGTGATCTCCTTAAAAACTTGTATCCCCCTTTCTAGTGCCTCTTCTTCTTCTTCTTCTTTTTTTTCGGTCGGTTGTGGGACCTGAACTCTGGGCCTAGGCACTGTCCCTCAGCTCTTCAGCTCAAGACTAGAGCTCTACCACTTGAGCCACAGCGCCACTTCAGGCTTTTTCTGCTTATGTGGTTCTGAGGAATGGAACCCAGGGCCTCATGCATGCAAGGCAAGCGCTCTACCACTGAGCCACCTTCCCAACCCCAGCCAGGGCCTCTTCTTGGAAGGCCCTCGTCTCCCCTGTCTCACCTGCCCTCTGAAGCCCTTTTTGAGCGCCTGAGGCAGAATTTTCCTCTATGCCCTTTGTGTTCTCTCAGGACCCTATGCTCCTGGAGGCACAGAGCTCACTGAGAGCTGAATTCCCAGAACCCACTGCTTTTGAGTTATGCATGAGTGTATATTCCCTCTAATTTAAATGCAAGAACATGCCTGGTGTAGTGCTGCACACCTATAACACACTGGAGGGGGTTATCTTAAGAATCATCTCTCGGCGGGGCACTGGTGGCTCTTGCCTATAATCCTAGCTACTCAGGAGGCTGAGATCTAAGGATAACAATTCAAAGCCAGCCTGGGCAGGAAAAGTCCATGAGACTCTTATCTCCAATAAACCACCAGAATACTGGAAGAGGTGCTGTAACAGAGCACTAGCCTTGAGCTGAAGAGCTGAGGGATAGCACCTAAGCCCAGAGTTCAAGCCCTATGACCAATCCAAAAAAAAAAAAAAAGAACCATCTCTCAGGCTGGGATGTAGCTCAGTGGCAAAGCACTTGTGTAGCAAGTGCCATATCCTGGGTTCGATCCCCACTACTAAAAAAGAAGGCAAAAACAAAACAGAAAGTTAAAAAAGAATCATCTGCCCCACTCTGTCTCACTAGGCAATTAAGAAGATTTCACAGCACAAATATCTTTACATTAGCTTGTCTGATCCATGGCCTCAGTTACAAGTATCCTCGCTATTCATCTTATTTCCTAATTCACAATTTAAATTGCTGTACCAAAACTTTAACTGGGTCAACTACATTGTTTTGGGTTTTTTGTTTTTTGGTCGTGAGGCTTGAACACAGGGCCTGGGCGCTGTCCCTGAGCTCTTCTGCTCAAGAGTATCACACTACCACGTTCAGCTACAGCGCCACTTCTGGTCTTCTGTTGCTCATTGGAGATAAGTCTCACACTGAGCTGGCATGCCCAACTAAAAAAAAAAAATTGTTTAAGGTAGAAAACTAATTTGTGGGTTTTCACTAACAGATAGATGGGAATGTGTTTATCTACCTCCAAGTAAGTGAAGGTAAGCCTGCCTTACCCTCTCCCGGACTTTGTCCTTCAGGAGCAGGCTGATGATGGAGTAGGGAACTCGGAACCATATAGGAGCTCCTACAATCAGTACCTTCTTCAAGCGAGCTGGGAATGCCCCCTATGGAGAAAACACAGCAGGTTTTAAGGACACACCTACAGTTTCAAGTATAGCTTTTCTTCACTCCTTCTCATTCTGACCCAGCAGGGAACTCCATAGCCTAATTTACCTTCTATCTAATTAGCAAGAGGAAAAATGGCCAAAAGAAGTAAAGAAATGTGAAAGCGATTTACCTTTACAAGGAATGCTAGCAAGTCCGGTGCCAGTGGCTCACATCTGTAATCCTAACTTCTCAGGAGGCTGAGAGCTGAGAATCACAGTTAGAAGCCAGCCCAGGCATAAAAGTCTGTGGATTTCCTATCTCCAATTAACTACAAAAAAGCTTTGAGCAAAAAAAAAAAAAGATCAGGGACAGTGCCCGGCCCTGAGTTCAAGACCCAGGACAAGGAAAAAAAAAAAAAAAGGACCTCAAGATTCCATCTCAAAGATAGCCACCAAAAAAGACAGACTGTAGGCATGGCTCAAGTGGTAAGAGTACCAGCTGACAAAGCAAGCCAAGGAAGTATGAGGCACCAATTTCAAACCTCCATACCACCAAAATAACAAAATAACCATAGTATATAGAACTAGAGGTATGGATCAAGCAGCAAAAGCATCAGCTGGTAAGCATGAAGCCCTAAGTTCAAAAATACACTAGCATAAGTCAATTTATAAAATAAGAAGAACATTCAAAGCAGCAGAATTTAGGGAATAACTAAAATAGCCATTTGTTTTTCTTTTGTGCCAGTCTTGAGGCTTGAACTCAGCACCTGGGAGATCTCCCAGAGGTTTAGTGGTCTGTCACTTTGAGCTGCAGCTCCACTTCTGGCTTTCTGGTGGCTCAATGGAGATAAGAGTCTCATAAACTTTCTTGCCCAAGCTGGCTTTGAACTGCGATCCTCAGATCTCAGCCTCCTGAGTAGCTAGGATTACAGGCGTGAGCCACCAGCGCCCGGACTAACTTCATATTTTTGAGCCAGGCTAGAGGGAGCTATTAACAGAAGAGTAAATACGAGTAAACTTTTCATCAATGGAAAAGGATTGAATGGTTCCATCCATCAACAAGAAGGAATGAATCAAAGCAATATACCACAATATGAATTTTAGTAATGATGATGAGTGAAAAAAACAAGTTCTAGGCCAGGCACTGGTGGCTCACTCCTATAATCCTAGCTAATCAGGAGGCTGAAATCTGAGGATCACAGTTTAAAGCTAGCCTGTGCAGAAAGTCCATAAGACTCTTTTCTCCAATAACCCACCAGAAAATCAGAAGTGGCACTGAAGCTCAAGTGGTAGAGTGCTCACCTTGAGCTGAAGAGCTGAGGGACAGCACCCAGGCCCAGAGTTCAAGCCCCATGACGGACAAAAAAAAAAAAAAAAAAAGAACAAGTTCTAGGAAACAACATACAATGTAAGCTCCTGTTTCTATAATTACTACTGTAGAGTCACAAGAACAAATAAAAGCTATTTCAATAATATTTGCCAGGTGAGATCCTAGAACGAATGCTCCTATAGCAATGTTTTCCAAGCTGCAGGGGGTAATGCAATGAGCACAGAAATAAATTTACAGTTTCACATTTTAGAAATACCAAATCCAGGAGCCAGTGGCTCATGCCTATAATCCTAGTTACTCAGGAAGCTGAGATCTGAGGCCAGTCTGGGCAGACAAATGGTTGGGAGATTTTTATCTCCAAGTAGCCAGCAAAAGGATAGAAATGGAGTGGTAGCTCAACTGGTAGAACATCTTCAGCAAAAAACGCCAAGCAAGGGCACAAAGGCCCTGAGTGCGAGTCCCGTACTGGCACAGACACAGGACAGAATAGGATGGGATGAGACGGGATGGGACCGGATAGAAGTCATCTAAGTAATTACACACAGCAAGGGTGGAGCTGCTTCTGTGAAATGTTTTTGCTCTGTAAATACATATACATAGGTCTATCCACCCTTATTATAAATTTTAAATCTAAACAACCCAGACAATCTCATCCATTTTCCCCCCAAATTCACTGGGATGCAAAATATGACCAGAAACAGCGTAGTCTATTTTATAGCTTTTATTCTTCTCCGCTGTATTGAGTGCTGGGATAACAGACAGGCACTGTCAAGCCTGGATAACCAGGTATCTTTTAAAGTTGAAAAAGTAAGAAATGCCTCCAGATTTTACATATGGGAGTGGCTAACATACACGGGAAGATTGTTATGTCATATACATTTATATGCATATAATACTACTTATTTGTATAGATTAAGTTTATATGCATTCCTTTGTACTAAGTTGACATGTAAAACATATTTCAAGGTGGCTCACACTTGTAATCCTAGCTACTCAGGAGACAGAGATCCGAGGATTGTGGGTCAGAGCCAGCCTGGGGAGGAAAGTCCATAAGACTCCTTATCTCCAATTAACCACCATAAAACCAGTAGTAGGCTGTGGCTCAAGTGGTAGAGCACTAGCCTTGAGCTGAAGAGCTCAGGGAGAGGGCCCAGGCCCAGAGTTCAAGTCCCAGGACTGGTTAAAAAAAAACAAAACAAAAGGGCTGGGATGTAGCTCAGCGGCAAAGTGCTTGCCTAGCAAGTGCAACGTCCTGGGTTCAATCCCCAGTACCAAAAAAGACAAAAACAAAAACAAACCGTATTTCAGGTTAGCCTGAGACACACAAAAAAAAGTCTGAGAAGCCACTGGTGCAGTAACACGGTTCCCAGATGCTATACTTATGCCTTCATTAATTATTCTTCTACAAGACTCCAGGAAAGAAACATTCCATTTTTATGACTAGAATTTGCTTATGCTTTTTTTGACTTTCAGTTCTTCTCACTTCATTCTCAACACCATATCTTGTTCTTATGAAGCAGTTATTAGTCATCGTTTATAGGTGCCTTTCAATTAAACATAATGTCCAAATTTACATCATTCCCAGATCTCTTCCCCCAGAATAGAAAGAAAAGCCCTCCCACAGCCTTACCTTCAGCAGATTTAGGACCTTCTTGCCAAGTTCCAGCTCAAAGTTGGCATAATTAGAACCACACATGTCATAGATAAACACCAGTCCATTCCTTTGAGTTTCAAAGCTGTAAACCAAATCATTCAACAAAAACATTTGTTCAGTGCAAATGACTTTATTCAACAAAAGCTAGGTATTAACTGGCTTTTGATATGCATACCAAAAAGATCATTACCAACATTGTGTGATTAGACTACTCATATATAGGTGCATTTCTGAAAAAACACATTTCTGAAGTGGGGGGGGGGAGGTGTGTGTATGTGTTCTGAAGGGGGGGGGGGGGAGAAAGAAGGTGTGTGTGTGCTTTTTTTGCTCAAGACTAGCATTCTACCACTTGAGAAACAGTTCCATTTCTGAGTTTTTGGTGATTAAGAGATCAGAGTCTTAATGGACTTTCTTGCCCAGACTGGCTTCTACCACTTGAGAAACAGTTCCATTTCTGAGTTTTTGGTGATTAAGAGATCAGAGTCTTACTGGACTTTCTTGCCCAGACTGGCTTTGAATGGTGATTTTCAGATTAGGATTACAGGCGTGAACCACTGGCGCCTGACTAAGTGAGGCTCATTTTCTGCTTTACCTTCGAGAAGTCTTTTATCCATTTACCCCTTTAAGAAAATCCAAGAAAGAAACCCAGAAGGTAACATTTTTTTTAAAAAATTTTCTAATTTTAAGGCATATACAAGGTTTTCCATCAGATGTTGTTTCTAAGAATCCCACAATGTCTTACATTAGTATTAAATAATAATTAGTACTTTTTCACGATCCCAGAAACTATGGTTTTCTGACATCAAAGGTACTGCCAAACATGTGGCACAATTAGTGAGCAGACCAGCCGGTCTAGAGAATTTCCGTTTCTCCATGTGCTCATCTAAGGCTAGTTTTTTAAATTACAGGTTTTCTTCTCAAAGGCCCTGATTTTAACAAGCTGAAATGGAAGTCAGTGACAGGAAAGAGAATGTAATAAAAAGCAGGTTGTATATTCTTCCCAAATCAAACTGCTATCCTGTGAAAACACATAGGATAAATACAAATACAGAGTCTTGCTTTCCTTGGTATAGAATATGAGGTGTACAAATATGGCAGATTGCCTCCCTGCCAAGCTTGATTTCTACATTGTATGTTACAAGGGAGACCAAGAAGTTTCAAACACAAGTGGGGGCCAATGGTTCCTGCCTGTAATCCCAGCTACTCGGGAGGATGAGATGGGAGGGTCACAGGTCAAAGCCAGCCCAGGCAAGAAAGGCCATCAGACTTTTTTCCAATTAAGCAGCAAAAAGCCTGAAGTGGAGCTGTGGCTCAAGTGATAGGGGACTATCCTTGAGCAAAAGATGCTCAAGGACAGTCCAGCCCTTGAGTTCAAGCTCCAGGTCTGTCACACACAAAAAAGCCATAGTCCCTGTCATTTGTTTGAAAAGAACCTGGAGAAGGGAGGGATATGTGAGGGCCAATCGATAAGCAAGACTGCAGAAAACAGATGACAGACAGGTGAATATTTATGACAGCATTCTCTTCCCATCACAAATACTGGGCAATATTCAATTATATAATGTTAAAAAGGTTCCCTGCCCTCAAGGAAGTCACATATTAGGGTTACATATAAAAACAAAAACAACAACAGCAACAAAAAAACTCTAAGCAAGCTCTGAGTGGCTCATGCCTGTAATCACAGCTACCCAGGAAGCTGAAATCTGGAGGATCATGGTTTGCAACAAGCCTGGGCAGAAAACTCTGAGATTCCATCTTTAATTAACCAGCAAAAAGCCAGGATGGAGGTATGGCTCAAGCAGCAGAGTGCCAGCTGAGAGCAAGAAAGCCAAGCAAAAGGCCTTAGTTTAAGTCTCAGTATTGGTGCGTGCATAGAAGCGCATGTGCGCACCCACATATACATATATACACACACAGAGAAATCTATTATTAGTATGTTAAAGTAAATGGCATCCATGTGCCATGTACAGTTTTTTGGGGGGAAGAGGCAGTGCTGAAGGATGAAACTCAGGGCCCTGGTAAATACCGTACCACTAAGCCAATATGCACAGCCAAGGCTATGAACAATTAAGTCCATAATGCAGCATTGGTAGTAACTGTCATGAAGGTCAGAGTAAGAATTTCATTCATGGCAGGTTGAAGTGTGAGAGCCAGTGATAACACAAAGGCAAGACTTAGTGAAGGAAGGGAGAGGAAAGACCATTCTGGTTTTCCAGTCTTGGGAGAAAGTATTTTGCTTGAAGGGCTCACATCTGGTTAGCACACATGTGTCCACTGGATGATGAGAAATCACTGAGGTTTTAAACCAAGGGATGAATATTATAAAAACAAAGTTGCAATTCTATTTATGTATTGTGCTGTTTGGCCCTAGTGTGGGATAACAAACTCACGCTGGCAAAGAGCAAGATTTGGCTACTGTCCCACAGCTGACCACCACCAAACAGTTGGCCAGGCCTACATGACAGTTCACCCAAACAGGAAAGTCAAGCTGGTATACTAAAGGACCCTCTCATTTGTCTTCCTGAGCTAGTGGGGCAATTCACACATTCTCACATTTTGACAAGTATGCTAAAGACTTGCCACAGGAAAGGGGAGCTGAGAAACCCCACACCTCTACTAAGAACCACTCACACTGCTGCCCCTCAACTCCTGAACAACTTCATCGTTTCAGAATTATATTGTATGTGGGATGTGGATTTCTCTCTTGCAGCATAAGCTAAGTACTGGGAAAGCAATGGGAACAAGGCAACACAAGTGAACTGGACAGGGAGTCCTAGCTCAGACAATCCTTTGGCTGCTTCCAGCTTCTAAGTGCACAGCATGCTCTCTTGCTGCCTCAGTTCTCTATAGCACTTGCTGGTGTGTTGGCTGGTTGGCTGGATGAACCCAGGATCGCTCAGCCAGTCTTCTACTGGAGCCACGCTACCAGCCTTTTTATTTCTGACTAGGTCTCACTCGCTTTACCTGAGTATACAGGACTGCACCACCACACCTAGCTCCTTCTTATCCACAGGACCAGGCAAAGACATCAAGAGCATAAAGAGATAAATGAAAAAAGATGCAGAGCAGGAAATCAGCCTAACAGAGTAGAAACAGCTCAGGCCAAGAGCAAAGCAAACAAGGCCTGAGACCGGGCTGAGCCCCCCACAGGAGGACAATTCAACAAAAGCCCCACAGTGGCAGACTGCAGCCTTAGAATGTGCATAGCCCCGTGCTCAAACCACACCATGGGGGAAAAACGTGCAGGGAACTTCTTTGCTCTTTACTTTCTCTGTTTATGTAATCTCATTCTCCTGAGGGGAGAAAGAGACCTGGCATAAGCTTGTTCTTATTCCTATGTGTCTGTTTTTACAATCAAAGCTATTTTGCCTAACTTCATACTTTTCTTGTTTTGTTTTGTTTTTGTCGGTCGTGGGGCTTGAACTCTGGGCCTGAACGCTGTCCCTCAGCTCTTCAGCTCAAGGCTAGTGCTCTACCACTTGAGCCACAGTGCCACTTCCGGTTTTCTAGTGGTTTATTGGAGATTAGAGTTTCATAGACTTCCCTGCCTGGGCTGGCTTTGAACTGTGATCCTCAGATCTCAGCCTCCTGAGTAGCTAGGATGACAGGCGTGAGCCACCAGCGTCCGGACTAACTTCATATTTTTGAGCTCTTCCCCCAGAATAGCAATTTTCAAAAATCCTGAGGCACACATAATTCCTATTTCACAAAGAAACCGAGGCTGGTAGAGGGTTGTTGTTGTTTTTAATTTTTCTTGGGGTGTGTTTGTGTGCCTGTCCGTCTGACTGAGACAAGATATCACTGTGTAGCCCAAACTGGTCTTTCACTCACGATCCTCTGGCCTCATCTACTAGGGAACTAGTTAGTCGCATGCCCCTAGGTTTGTGATAAAAGCAAAAAGAATCTGGGCAAGTAATTTTATCCCCTCTGACTTCCAATAAGTGAATCAATTGCTAAGAACTGGCTCTTCCATATCCTGACTTCTGGAAATAGATCCACAGAACACATCTCGACAGTCACCCGCAAACAGGTTACACCCTTCAAAACATGGGCTGTTTTCTATTCACTGTGCTGCCCAGGGCACAGCCCAGAGCCAGAGGAGGAATGAACCTGCTACACTGAACCAAGTCAGAAACCGTCCCAGCTCTGCCCATGCTTACCTATCCACCGCTCGGTCTAGCAAGTAGAACAGAGCCTGAAGAACCACGTGCGGGACTGACTTGTGGGGATGATGCAGTCTGGCAGTGAAGAGAGCAATGGAAGCTCCAGTTGGGTCCCGAACATTCTAGAGCAAATAAGAGAAGAAACATTTGGAAATAAAATAGAATGTCCTAACAACCACGAAGTCTCACACCCTGGATCCAGAGTTGGCACAGGAAGAGAGAGATGCTGGCAGTATGTCCCTGACTAGAATCCATTGCTTCAGAAAGGAAAAATACTATCCTCCCACGTGCCCGGCTCTCGCAGCACCTCCTGCGCTACATCTACATTGTTGTGGTAAGGAAAAATGGAAAATCCCCTTTTTGGTTTTTTTTTTGGTCTTCTACTGAAAGCGATCAAAGGATGGTTTTAAACTGGCTTCATAGCTCATATCCCAAGCAGGAAGGTAGAAGAAACCAGCAGCAGGATCGCCAGTTGCTTTATTATTATTTTTTAACCCATTTCTGTTTCTTAGACAGGTTATACACATAGCCTGACCATAATGGGTGTGTGTGTGCACACGCATGCGCACTGCTACCAGTGCTTAGACTCAGGATCTCATTATTTTGCTCGGCTTCTTTGCTCATAGCTCTACCACGTAAGCCACGCTTCTGGACTATGCCATGCTGCTGTAAATCTCTGGTCATATCCTTACCTGAGAGGCCAAGAGGTCTCTGGGAAGTGGAGAGGTCCCATTAAAGAAGGAAAGGGCTCAAGGGGTAGAGAGCTAACCTTGAGCACAAAAGCTTAGAGACAGTGGCCAGGCCCCAAGTTCAAGCCCCAGGACGGAAGTGGGGGAGGAGGGAGACTGATATGCTGGGGATAGGAGGGGTTAAGAAGAAAGAAATGAAGGTGATGCACATGATCCAAGTACATTTTATGTATGTATGGAAACCACACTTTTTGAGAAGGAAAGGCTGTGTTCTTACACATTAGAGACCCACTGCAGGCCTTTAACCTGACTGGAGCAATGAGAAACTTTTCTAAGTCTCCTATAAATTAACTATCCATCATTCATTTCTTTTTTTTTTTTTTTTTTTTTTGGTCATAGGGCTTGAACTCAGGAACTGGGCAAGATCCCTGAGCTCTTTTGCTCAAGGCTAGCGCTCTACCATTTGAGCCACAGCTCCATTTCTGGTGGTTCACTGGAGATAAGAGTTTCACAGGCTCTCCTGCCACGGCTGGCTTCGAACGGTAGCCCTTAGATCTCAGCCTCCTGAGTAGCTACGATGACAGGCCTGAGACACCACGCCACCAGTTTCAATCTTTTTAACTATTAGTAGAAATGTCAACAACTTGTAATTATGAGTAATTCAATTGTTATTAGGTACCTCACATCTACTCCTGACTGTGGTTAAGATACCAAGGGAGGGCTGGGAATGTGGCTTAGTGGGAGAGTGCTTACGTAGCATGCATGAAACCCTGGGTTCAATTCCTCAGTACCACATAAAACAGAAAAAGCTGGAAGTGGCACTGTGGCTCAGGTGGCAGAGTGCTAGCCTTGAGCAAAAGAAGCTCAGGGACAGTGCCTAGGCCCTGAGTTCAAGCCCCAGACTGGCCAAAATAAAAGGGGGGGAGGAATCCAAAGAGAACAGATACGACAGGAAGCTGCAAAGCACTGCCAAGATGTCTTCACACTCACTAGGATGGTGAACTTGCCACTGAGGATCTCAGAACGGAGCGGCTCCTCATGAGGCTTCAGCTTCACGATGCCTTCCTTTCTTCTTGTTTCCTGCAAAAGAAGCGTATCAAGATGAATATAAAAATAACTACACCCCCAGGACAGTGTCACGGAACCACCACATCTCAGAGATAAGGAATAGGAGACAGCAACCGAGTTGTGAATTACTTTGCAACCTCCCTTTCCCAACCAAATTCCTGTCCACAGCTATCTCATATCGAATACTATCTGTAAGAATCCTAACCCTGAAAAACAACTCATGAGTAACATTAAGGTAGCAGATCCAATTTCTTTTTCTCCCCCCCTGAATGAGTCCTGTTTGAACTCAGGACCCAGGGTGCTGTCCCTCAGCTTTTTCACTCAAGGCTGGTGCTGTACCACTTGAGCCACACCTCCATTTCAGAGTTTCATTGAAGATAAAGAGTCTCAAGAACTTTCTTACCTTGCCAAGCTTTGAAGTGTGATCCTCAGATCTCAGCTTCCTGAGTAGCTGGGATTACAGGTGGGAACCACCAGTGCCACCCGATCTTTCTGCTTTTCAAACCCTTCTACGATGACCTCCATCCATTCTAATGGTTCCAATATTCTATTTTAATTATGCCGAGTTCTCTTTTCAGCCACAATAATTTTCTCCTTTTTTTTGCTAGTCCTAGGGATTGAACTCAGGCCTGGGCATTGTCCCTGAACTTCTTTTGCTCAAAGCTAGCGCTCTCCCACTTGAGCCACAGCGCCACTTCTGGCCTTGCTCATCTCTGCTTTGATCTCTTTGCTCCCACTCCCACTCTGACTCAGCTAGTTTTCTCTCTGTCCAACTCCTGGCATCTGCCTGCCACGCTCCTCTCATTGCCTGATTCCTGCTCATGCTTCAGATCTCAGTTAGAACTGATTTCTTTTTTTTTTTTTTCCCCCCATGGGGCTTGAACTCTGGGCCTGGGTGCTGTCCCTGAGCTCTTCAGCTTAAGGCTAGTGCCCTGCCACTTGAGCCACAGCGTCACTTCCGGCTTTTTTCTTTTTGCTTATGTGGTGCTGAGGAATCGAACCCAGGGCCTCATGCATGCAAGGCAAGCCTTCTACCACCGAGCCACCTTCCCAGCCCCCACTTTCAGTTTTTGAGTAGTTAGTTGGTGATAAGAGTCTCACGGGAACATTCCTGTCTAGGCTGGCTTCAAACCTTGATCTTCAGAGATCTCAGCCTCCTGAGCAGCTCAGATGACAGGGATGAGCCACTGGAGCCTGGCTCACATAGCATTTTTATCAAGGATATTACCAACGAAGAAAGTAAGCATTAAGCTGGAGGTGTGGCATGTGTGTCTGTGTGTGTATACAGAGAGAGACAGAGACTAAGAAACAGTGAAGAGGAGGAGGAAGAGTAGAAGAAGGAGGTGGAGGGGAAGACGAAAGAGGAGGAGGAAAGAAAGAAAAAAGAATCAATGCAGAACCAAAGTTTGATCCCCCTTAAAAAATATAAAAAAATTATAACTACAGTAAAATGCTGGTGTAGCTATATTTGCAAAAGGTACTGTTAAGACCTGGATCTTAATATAATGGTTCTTTTTTCCCAGCACTAAAGCTCTTCTTCTTAAATGACTCTCTAAACTCGGCATTCATCTGAAGAAAAGGTTTCTAAAATTCCCAGATATCCTGAAAACCTGTGGAGTAAATGGGACAGGTCACCAGGGGACGGGGCACAAGTGAAGACTCAGCCAACTGCAGGAAGGATGAACTACTATCCCGACAACAGGATGCGGTCAGGTGTCAGAACAGGTGGCATCTACCTGTTCTATCGTCAAAGTCTGGACACCAGTGGTTCACGCCTGTAATCCTAGTTACGCAAGAGGCTGAGATCTGAGGATAATGGTTCAAAGCCAGCCTGGTCAGGAAAGTCTGTGAGACTCTTAGGTTAACCACCAGAAAACTGGAGACAGAGCTGTGGCTCAAAGTGGTACAGTACATGGGCTAGAAATGTGGCTTAGTGGTAGAGTGCTTGCCCAGCATGCATGAAGCCCTGGGTTTGATTTTTCTATATCATATAAATACAAAAAGTCAGAAGTAGCCCTGTGGCTCAAGTGGTAGAGTACTAGTCTTGAGTAAAAGAAGCTCAGGGACAGTACCCAGGCCCTGAGTTCAAGCCCCATGGTTGAAAGGAGAAAACAAAAACAAAAACAAAAACAAACAACTTTAGGGACAGAAATGTCTTTGCAAAAGTACCCCTGCTGGGGCTGGGAAGGTGGCTCAGTGGTAGAGTGCTTGCCTTGCATGCCTGAGGCCCTGGGCTTGATTCCTCAGCACCAGGTAAGCAGAAAAAGCCAGAAGTGGCTCTGTGGCTCAAGTGTTAAGAGCGCTAGCTTTGAGCTAAAGAGCTGAGGGACAGCACCCAGGTCCAGAGTTCAGGCCCCACCATGATCAAAGAAGGAAAAAAAAGTACCCCTGCTCACCATGACTCTACAGTCTCAAGCATTCGTGTTTCTCAGCCAGAGAAAGGTGTGTATATGAAGAACAGCAGAAAGAACATGAAAAGGTAGAAAGCAGCCCCCCCCTCCCCCCCGCCCCATGCACCTACTCTGTATGAGTGGAACAACTCCACAGCACGAAGCACATCAAACTTCCTGGCCATGAGGAACTTGACGGCGACATTCCATGACAGCGGAGACACGTTGTACTGGACTGTCCACTTGTTTATCTCCTCAAGAAACTGCTTGGTAGCCTGTTGACAAACGAAGAATTAATATACACACACACACACACGTAGGAAACAACAACAACAACAAAAAAAAAGCTGGCAAAATTATCATTCTTTCCCCAAGCCAGAATGAATCTAAAGTTTACATAGTTTACTGCAGGTAACAAGACAAGACAAGAGAGCTGGGCGCCCGTGGCTCACACCTGTAATCCTAGCTACTCAGGAGGCTGAGACCTGAGGATCATGGTTCAAAGCTAGCCTGGGCAGGAAAGTCCTTGAGACTCTTATTTCCAAAAAACCACTTGGAAAACCAGAAGTAGAGCTGTGGCTCAAGTGGTAGAGCACTTAGCCTTGAGCTGAAGAGCTCAGGGACAGTGCCCAGGGCCAAAGTTCAAGCCCCATGACTGACAAAAAGAAAAAAGACAGGAGAGAAACAAACAGGTCTAAAGTCAAATAGTTTGAAACGATATACAAGGCAATACATGGCGATGCATGAGAAAATGACCAGGGGGAGACCAGGGCTCCTCGATGTGATGTTTGTTATTGGTCCCAAAGCAAAGGAAAACAAAACAAAAACCCATCCGAATCGTAGCGCATAGTTTGAAGGGACGAACAACGCAAGGGCACTGGAAAGGACTGTTGCGTAATGGTGCAGAACAGCCATCTCAGCTGCTACTCTGGTCCCACAAGCGAACTGGACAGAGCAAAACAATCAGCAAATGGTTTGGACTTTGGAATTAGCAGCACTAGTTAATAGCAACAAACCTACCAGGAGGAACTGAATAAATCAAAAAGCCAGCTGTTCTTGTGCTCACTGACCCCACAGAATCTTGCTGGGCCTTATATGGCAGCCCCCTCCCAGGGAGTCGCCAACAGTTCCCTGAATCCTCAGCCCCCAACCTCAAGCTGGCAAGACGCCTGTTTCTAGAATTGTTGGAAGCCCTAGACCTCCCTATGATAACCAATTTCTGCTCTAGCCAAACTACCCTTCTATTTCTTTAGAGTGATGAGAGTTTTGTACAGTTTACTCTGCATTGCATGGCTCTCCTCTCTCTTCTGTCTAGAAACGTTCCCCAGGTATTAGTCCACAGTGTGATCAACCTACTGAGAATTCTGAATTTTAAACACACCCTCATTATCATTTGACCCACATTTAAGATGCATTTATTCATATTAAACATCTACTTATTAAGCCACTAACTGTAGATAAAAGAAAAAGTATGTGGGGCTTCAGTGGCTCATGCCTGTCGTCCTAGCTACTCAGGAGGCTGAGATCTGAGGATGGAGGTGGAAAGCCAGCCCAGACAGCAAAGTCCGTGAGATTCTTATCTGCGATGGACCACACAAAAAAGCCACAAATGTGCTGTGGCTTACAAGGGTAGTGTGCTAGCCTTGAGCACAAAAGCTCAGGGACAGTGCTCAAGCCCTGAGTTCAAGCCCCAGAACCAGCTCAAAACAAACAAACAGTACAGTGACACTGTCTGTTTGCTTAGTCTGCAAGACCCTGGATTCTATCTTCAGCATGGGGGGGGAAAAGGAGAGAAAGGAGACAAAACCAAACCAAATAAAACCACATTTGCTCCAAAAGATGTACAAGTGACTAGGCACAAGGAAAGTACACTCATTTTCCAGTTGAAAATAAGGGTGGCGAGAGCAAAGGCAATACTGGACTTCAGAGCTTTGACCATAGGCCCTGCATGGAGAGTGCTGGCCACAGGCCCTGCCTGGCCAAGGCTGTCCATACTGCCACACATTATGTTTGAACAACTAACTGGAATCCTAGACTAGTTAGCAGAGGCTCCCAGCTGAGCACCTCCTTCATCCCTCATTTCTATAAAGTGACAATGGAACTTTGTACAGCAGTGAGAAGTGAGGTGTGAGAGGCTACATCTGAGTTCTAGAGCCTTCCGCCGGAGGCACTGGAGAAAGGAGACAAGCAGCAATGCTAATCAGGCACAGCCAGTGAAAAGAGCCAAGAAACAGAAAGAAAAGAGCCAGATCACACTGGCTGGGCATCAGCTGACACCAAACCAGGGAAATGAGCCCGACAAAAGGCAACTGGACAAACTTAAAAAATGCTCCCCCCCCAAAAACAAAACAAAACAAAACACACAGTCTGAGTTGTTCTGCAAGATTAGTGCCCAGTATCAGAATGAGGAAGGACAGTAAGGAAAAGACGTGGGCATACAGCGAGCCTACAAACCCCAGTACATCAAGGGTGTCCCCAGGAAACGTGCAAATAGTATTTTTTTGGGGGGGGTCCGGTCGTGGGGCCTGAACTCTGGGCCTGGGCGCTGTCCCTCAGCTCTTCAGCTCAAGGCTAGTGCTCTACCACTTGAGCCACAGCGCCACTTCTGGCTTTTTATGTAGTGCTGAGGAATCGAACCCAGGGCCTCATGCACGCAAGACAAGCATTCTACCATTGAGCCACCTTCCCAGCCCCCAAACAGTATTTTTTTTAACAACCATCTTCTTTTAAATCCGTCCTATAGTGAGCTTCCTTGAAGCTATTTGTAGAATAAAACACTAGAATAGAAACATACTTACCCCACTGTTTAGCAGAGTATACAATATTTCCAATAAAAAGAAGGAAGAAATAAATTGATGCTCAGGGTGCAACGAAGTGATCTGAGCTTCTCAGACATGAACTACACCAAGATGACTTATCCTTGTTCATAAATAAATTACTAAGAAGAGGAGGAAGACACATGTATCACTATGGCCTGATGAGAGAAAGGCATGAAGTTCTTATTCCCTCCCTTCCAAGTACCTCTTGCTTTTTTTTTTTAAATAAACTCACTCCAAGGTTCTTAATGTCCTGTAGCTCCCAAGAGCTAGCCTCGAGCTGACCTCTGTCCCCCTGCTGGCCAGGATGTTATTCTTGGCTTTCAGCATGGGAACAATTCCTCCTGCTGTGGCCTGGACCAGGCCTTGCCTGAAAAGTCCAGTGTACTGTAAACAGGGCTGTGCTATTTACACAGATCCCGCTTGCTCTGCTTGGCCTCCTGAGCCCCAAGCCTCTGGTGAAAGAGATGAACCTCGGAAAGAAGAAACGAGGAGCCCCATGTCTTCCACTGGCCTCCTCCAGGACCCTTGCCCAGTGCTCTGTGTGTGAGCACACAGATCGGGCCTTAACCACTGAGCACACACACTTTGGTGGGTAGCCTGGCTAGTTACCCGAAAAACAAGTCCCAGCACATGTGGTGAGCAATATGCTCTTCAGGAAAGAGCATCGAAAAGCATCAAATGAGTACCCGTCCCATTTCCTGCTCCAAGAATGAACAGGTCAAAAAGATGAGTCACAGTTTAGAAAATATTTTAATTCAAGGCCAGTGGTTTGAATGGATCCAGGCCCAAGAGCAGGCGCAGTGGTTAATGCCTGGCAGCTAGGGAGGGCTGGGCCGAGGAGCCTCTGTCTCCCCTCTAGAAAAGACATGAAGTAATTAATGTAAAGGAAAAACAAACTTCACTTACAGCCACTCAACTAGATTATCAATAAACATGTGTTTCCCAATAGTCAAAGACTTAGTATAATTACATACTTCCACAATTAGGTTTAAATAACTAAAACCAAGTTTCCTAACCGTGACTGAGAGTCTTAATGGTACTAAGAGAACCTCCTATAAAATAGCTGAGATTCGGGGCTGGGAAGGTGGCTCAGTGGTAAAGCGCTTGCCTTGCAAGCCTGAGGCCCTGGGTTCGATTCCCAGCACCACATAAGCAAAAAGAAAAAAGCCGGAAGTGGCGCTGTGGCTCAAGTGGTAGAGCGCTAGCCTTGAGCTGAAGAGCTGAGGGACAGCGCTCAGGCCCAGAGTTCAGGCCCCACAACCAGACCCAAAAAAAAAAAAAAATAGCTGAGATTTGGAGAGAATAAGCGAGCGGGTGATTGTTGAAAAGGAAATGTACTCATTACCTGAATCATTCACTAACTGGAACCCCTCTGTACATCACCTTTACAATAAGATCGCTGAGAAGCTAGGTGACAGTGGCTCATGCCATGCCTGTAATCCAAACTACTCAGGAGGCTGGGATCTGAGGATAGCAGTTCAAAGCCAGCCTGGGCAAGAAAATCGTTGAGGCTCTCACCTCCAATTAACTACCAAAAAAAAAGTCGGAAGGGACTGGGATTTTGGCTCAGTGGTGGAGCACTTACCTAGCATGCGTGAGACCCTGGGTTCAATTCCTCGGTACCACATAGGCAAACGAAAGAACGTCAAATAAAAAATATTTTTTAAAAAAAGCGAGAAGTGGCGCTGTGGCTCAAGTAGTAAAGTGTTAGCCTTGAGCACAAAAGCTCAGGGACAGTGCCCAGGTCTTGAGTTCACGCAGGTGCTTGTGCAGAAACACACACACACACACACACATACATACACACACACGCTCAACACCAGCCATTAGTGTTGAAGTGATGGTATCACAGAGAATAACACCAAAAATTCCCAAGAGGATAACCACCTTAAAGGTTAAAAAACAAAAACAGTGCTGGTATTCTTGTTTCACAGGCAGAATCGTAAACGAGGACAGCCCGGGAAGAGGAAAACAGAGGAAACCTGCTCCTGAAGTAGAAAACTCCTGTCCCCCGAGGAAGCGGCCACCCTGCTCCATCCAGGAGCAAGTCTGGCACAGGTCTGGAAGTCAGGAGATCACTCCACTCCCCATCCACCCCCATGCTATTCATGCTCTCATACTCTTTCATGCTTTGGGGTCTGAACTTAGTGTTTCAGGCAGACACTCTACCATTTGAGTCACAACTCCAGCCCTTTTTTTGCCAGTCCTGGAGCTTGAACTCAGGGCACTGTCCTTGAGCCTCTCTGTGCTCAAGGCTAGCATTCTACCACCTGAGCCACAGCACTACTTGCGACTTTTTCTGTGTATGTGGTACTGAGGAATTGAACCCAGGTCTCCATGCATGCTAGGCAAGCACTCTACCCTAAGACACCTTCCCAGCCTCCAGCCCTTTTTGATCTGTTTGGAGTTGGGTTTTTATTTTGGTGGTACTGGGGTTTGAACTCAAGAGGCTCACA